CGTTTGAAGGTTTACACTCCAGCTGCAATATAAAGCACAAGAATGTATCAGTATTAAAAAAAAAGATCTTTAGTTTAATTTTGGTGATTACACTAAAGTGGAGCTGGTTTACGCTCAATAACACGTGTTTAGTGTATGTATATTTAAAAGAACATGCATTTCACCGTGCTTTAAATCCCATGTTAAGTGTGTTTGAGTTCAAAATTAATTTATAGATTTCCACGGGGCTTTTGATTTTGGGTAGTGAGAAATGTTTAATAAGATGAGTACATTTTGCTAAATTGCTCTTTCTACATGAGGTGCCGCTCTTTGTGCATGCGCTTTCTACAATAAGGGGGGAAAAGTGACAGGTGTGCATTTTGCACCAATCTTTAGAGCCTTAGCCGCTGGTGCTAAATCGGTAAGGTTAGGTCAGCAGCCTTCCCCATGCCAAACATTTTGCGGTGTCCTTCGGTGCTTATACTTCAGGCAGAGTTGCCCAGCTAACATTTAGGTTCTAAGACTACTACCCGTTAACGGGAATGCAAAATATATTCCACAATAACAAGCCGTGGCGATGCATAAGTATGCAAAGTGTATGAAGAAATTAACCAACTTCTAAGTGAGGGCATCATAATGGCTGACTTTCATCCAAAAGTAAGAGGAGCATTGATGGGAGGATAATTCGGGAAACGTGATATTGGAGCAAGGAAAGAGAGAATGACTAAGAGTTTTAAGCAGGCGCATCAAAATAATGTTTTTTTTCCCCAATAAAAAATCTAGAAATGGGAAAAAGATCGTCAGAAAGCTGACCGCGTTAATAGATAACGGAAACATTAATAATTTGATGACGTTTTGGGCGATGGTCCTTCATGGCATATAAATTGAAGAATGGCCGTTTGCCCACATCTTCACCTATTACCGTATATATCTATATTTTTATTTTGAATGGCGCAGTGTCATTGAAGAATGCGTTCAGTTGTTTTGTTCACTGTGCTTGTGCACCGCTGCCAACGCAGCATCACCAAATTATTTTCTGGAATATCAGTGATGCGTCTGCACACGGCAGACTCGGTTCACATGAATTGCCGGGCGTCATCGAGCCAAGCCATAGTGCAACATAGCCAAGGGGAGGGCAAAGTTAGAGGCAAAAACAAGTCGGTTCGCGTGAAATAATTGTGTGTACGGACCACTGCCGACAGTTCGGAGAATTTACACTGATTCCTTAACAAATTCATACCTACATAGATGCAAAATAACAAAATTAGATGTCCCTGCCATAAAAAAAGAATACCCAGCATCACAGTCGACAGTGGTCTGGAAGTGCGTGCAAAGTGAAGCAGAGTAGAGAACAAGCTACCGGACGCGTATACGACACTTGAAGAAGAAGGGGGGGGGGGATGTAAAAAGATACAAAATAAGAACATAGAACTCTGAGAATAGAAATTAAGTGTATCACAACAATGGGAGGAATACAGGAAGTTGATTGGTAAAACAAATGGTTGTAGCCCTTATAGATAAATAGGGAAAAACATATGCAAGGTAAATGAATCATGTTGACTCTTGGGGAAAGTAAGTAGACTTGGGTAGGACATACCACTCGAAGGGATGATGGCTGGTGGTCGATGTGGGATGAATCTTGATGGACAACACTGGTGATGGAATAGCGGCCAAAAGCGATACCTGGCCTAAGAGGACGACAACTGTGGAGATGGGAGTGATGTGTGTGTGTTGAGGTTCTTTAGGACCGTACGTAGCCAGCCGTTCTCATCGGACGAGCGGGGAAAGAACAACAAACTAAACCGTTGTAAACAAATGAGTTTTCAATTTATATTTAAAATTTCATAGCTCCAGCGACTTCCTAACATCGGAAGTAAGGGCATTCCAGATGGCTGCAGAAGCGCATCTCAAAGCGTGTGATACAGTGATCGTCTGTTCGATGGCTAGTCATAAGCCACTGTGAGGATGAACGGAGTTCGCGTGAGAGATAAGATTACGTGCAGGAGCGAGATGGATTGTAGGATTACAAGACTGAAGGATGGCGATGGCATGGGGAGGCTTTCAACCAGCAGTAGATAAACGTTGGCTGATGATGATGACTTGCTCGCTCTATGCTGGTAAGGCGTTAGGTTGGTAGCCTTCACCATGCCAAACATTTTACGATGTCCTTCCTGTATACAGTTCGTTAGACAGTGTGAAAAAAACCAGACTATACAATTTTGACCATATTTTTTTGCACAAAAATTGAACATATAAAAGCAAGCAAATACCCACTTCAAAAGGTGGTGTACAAACGAGAGTTAAACCCGCGACATCTTTTTGCGTAACTTGTGCCGCCGAATAGGTGAATTTACAGCCGACGTGGAAGTGTGTCATCGTCTTTGGTTACACTATTAGTGTTGGGTTAGCATAGGCGCTAAAGCGATACGGGCTGTTTTGATCTCGATGGCTGCTGTGGAAGGATTATGGCCCCATCTGTGCGCGGGGCTGCCAGACCGTGTAAATCTCTCGGAAGTGAAAGCAAGTGTGTCGAGACTTTTCTCGGAGAGAGGGGGTGGGGAGGGTGTCCTTCTAAATCGGATGGTGGTTGCAGGGTTTAGTAGAGGATGTGTGCATCCTCCATGTATTTTAGGCAACTCAGTTCCTTGCGATGTAAATCCCATCGGCGCGGGGGGGGGGAGCACTACTTCACAAGGAGAAGGGGCTCGCTGCGTGATATCACGCGCTGTCGCCAAACTTAACTGGCAACGTCGCATCGGGAGAAACTTTCATTCCGGTTGTTGTGGCTGTGATGTTCGTGCCGCTGTCCCGTATTCAGTAGACCGGGCGATCAGGTGCCCTAAGTGTGGGAAATCTCAGTTTGCTTTGATTTATAAACGAAATGGATTTTTCGTCAAGTGCTTGACTTTCCAAAAGAACTGAGATACGTGAATGTAGGCATTTATTTGCTTATCTTATTGCTTCAAAACAACGCATTAAGAGATTTGTATACATTTTTGGCTTAGGCATTGATTAATGTCATGTAGATGGAGTGCCTCTTGCCAATAACATCTGCCAACCCAGCTGTATTTGCTTTTTTTGATAAGGCTGACTGTTGATGAGACTCAAAAGGTGAAAACTGCTCATGAGTTGGCTTGTTTATTCATAGTACTCTGGAAAGCTCTCAAAAGCAGACTGACTTCAACCCTTACTAGTTGGCTGTGTCAGGTGGTGGTGGATTTAACGACACGTATATTTACACGATCTAATCCAAAAACCTCTTATGGATGACTTAAACATCTTTTCATGTGGAGAGATGAACAGATATGTAGTCATTGATTATTTTACAGGCCACTTGAATTATCATTTCAATGTTCTTTGCTGGTGTGCAGTTTTTTTTTGTATTAAAAAAGGTAATCTTGTTAATTATTAAAGATATGTTCCTGGGACATACCATGCAATTTTAGGGTTGTATTTGCTTTGATGTATGTTTTTATATCTATGCGTGTTTAAATAAGTGGCTTAGAATGTCTCTTTTTTTGTATGTCAAATATATATTTAATCTCTATCCAAAACAAAAGCCATAAGCAAAATATTGGCAGTATAACAAAAAGCTCGATATGTTCAAAAGTGCCATTTTGGTAAACGTCCACTTGAAACAAAAAAAACCCCAATGCAGTCTCTTCACTCAATTTGATGCAATGTGCATTGCTTTAATAATAGCGGTTGGAAGGGGGGCTACCGCTTTGAAAGTCACAGCCAATGGCATCGCTGGCACACTGCCCAAGCGATTGCCGCACAGTGTGTCCTCTTGTACGAGTGAACGCCTCATTTGGTGGGACCTGCCCTTTTGATGTGTGCTAGGTCACGCCGAAGGTCCCAAGGTTGCGCTTCTAAACGGCGGCCCGCTATGTGTGGCGCTCGCCGGTTTGCCGCAGAGGCATCCGACTCCGCTCACGCGTCGCCCTCGCCCCCGGCTGGCTGGCCAGAGAGCGGCCCTGATTTACGTCCTCCTGACAAGCGGCACTAATTAATTCTCTCGTTAGCAGCATTAGCTAATGCCCCAAGCCTGCAGCAGCTGCCCGTGCCACTCGCTGGAGCCACGGGCCATGCCTGGGAGCGAGATTTATGGAGGCTACGGTGGACTTTGGTCGGGAAGGGTCTCGCCGTGCAGCCGTTGCCAAACACTGACGCTGCTGCCCTCCGCTGTCTACTGCAAAGTGACGCAGATGAGTTAGCTCGAGCGCGCCAATGCTGCATGTAGTTCCTCCAAATTGAACGCTTCCCGTGACATCCACGTGCATTCCTTGTCTATAGGCAGTGGTGCATACACACAAATAGTAAACAATTTTTTTTATTTAATAATAATACAGGCTGAAAGGGGGGAAAATACGTATTGTGCAACGTTTTGTGTAATGGACCTCCTTCATCGGCAATGTTTCCAGCATTGCTCAAAATAGCGCGTAAATATCTACTGCTGTTAGGGCATCTTGATTCATCAACGTGTTCAATCTTTGTTCCTTGCCTATAGTTCACGAACATCCGATTTCCGTTCACCTGTTTTCAATCCACACCTGCCCGCTTTCACGTGTGTTGTATATTTATTTTCATATGCAATGTGAGACAAAATCTAAACAATAACACTACTTACGTGTTTTTCTCACACTTAGTCGGTGGTATTTGAGAGTTGTTTAAAATCAACAGTGGAATGATGTGCCCCTTTGAGTGATTGGTGTCATGTACACATGACACACATGACACCACACAGGCATTCGCCAATTCCCCTGTGTGGTGCTGCGGTGGCGAGTTGTTAACTACCTCGCCTGATATACAGGAGGTTGTGGGTTCGATCCCGACTCTGATACCTGAATATAGTTTGCATGTTCTCCCTGTGGTCCACGTGGATTCTTCTCCGGATCCTCTGGTTTTTCCCTCCACATTTAGAAACACGCGTGCAGAGTCTTTGGCTGCTATAAAATTCCAAGTGATTTCTAACCGGGATTATTTTGTGCCGCCGCCGCGTTGTGTTGTACGTGGTGCAGGCAGAACACGCGGGCCGACAGCGCAATCTCGCCAGCCTGGAGCTCTTCCTGTCGTGCGCGCAACAGCAGCTGTCCACGCTCATGCAGCCCCCGCCGCCTCCACTTGCGCCTCCTGCTTCCGCTGACGGTGCGAGCGTGAGCCCCGCGATGGCGACGGCGACTGAGATGGTGGCGCGTGGCTCCGTCCCGGCGGAGGTTGACCCGACGCCGCCGGCCGGGACCCACGATGCAACGTGAGGGAGGAGTTGTCCACCCCCCGTCACCACCTCTCCTTCCCCTGAGAGGAGGAGGAGGAGGAGAAGGTAGCGGTTAGGGCAAAGCCGTGATGTATAACAGGATCATGAAAATAAATAATTCCCAACAATAGGAGCCTTACAATCGATGTGCAACTGGAAAACTTGACCGAGCGGCATCAATACAACTTTCAATCTTCACACTTTATTTCTTTAACGATGCCTATCTTAAAACTTAAGGCCCCTATACGTATATATTCATCCATTAAACATTTTAAACCACGTATTTAAATTAGTAATTAGGTTCATCTGCAACCATACACTCTGTCAAATGTATTTACTTATCATCTGTGAAAGCCAGGCTGAACAGGTTAATTTTAAATTATTTTTTTAAACTTTGAATGGTCAGGCAGTCCCCTTTCCTTACGAGGAAGGGAATTCTACAACGTAGGAGCCGTGTAAGCAGAGGAACAACGCCCTAGATCTTGACTTAAAGCTTTCGTGACTGCAGGAATTAATATTCTTTGGGTTTCGGTAAAGTCACGTGGCTTTACCGAAAGACCCAAAGAAAACGCCCTCGATGTTTGTAGTTGCGCCCTGTGGATGTTTCGCGATCCCTCAGTGGATCGAAGCAGTCGGTAGGGGCATTAGAGAGAAAGATTATCATCATTCTTCAAAATAATTATCTTTCAAATAGGGTCCCTGGCCGTGTGGGGCCTTATAGGTCATGAAACTCACCTTAGAAGGTGATGCTCCATCGGACTGGCAGCCAGTGCAGTGTGCGGAGCACAGACCTTGTATGATCGGTCCTACACGTACCAATCATTAACTTGGCAAACAACATTCTACACCAGCTGCAGATGATTGACATTAAGCCCCATTAGCCCCTCGGGTAAAGGGCGTTGCAGTAGTTAATGCGAGTGATCACGAAGGTGTGAAACTAGGTGGGTCGATCAACGGCGAGCGATAATCCTCAGGTAGACGAAAGATGTCTAGACAGCAGCTCACACCGGTGATTTCGAGGTCAAGCCGCCGTCAAAAACACTACCCGGATTCCATACTCAGCCTGGGGTAGTCAGCTGGACACCCCTGAGGGCTGTCCTGCCAACACACCCATACTCTGACGATCAGGGTCCAGCACCAACACCTCAATATTATCAGGGTTCAATCTCAACCAACTATAACTCATCCAGTCTTGGATCTCAGATGGGCATTTGCTAAAAACCATAAGAACAACTCCCTCCTCGGGTGCAAAGGACACATACGGCTGTGCATCATCTGCATGACAGTGAAAACTGAGCCCGTAATGTCGAACAATTTCGTCCAATGAAAACATATACACCACAATCAATGTGGGTGTCGGCATGGGGCTCTGTGGCATCCCACAGGATAGGGGGAAAGGATCGTAGGAATACATTGCAGAAGCTTCTCCCTGTATCTTATCCTTGAGCAAAAATCAACATCATCTCTGGACGTTAACAGCCAATCTGCAGATGTACTGCATGCGCTGAAATAGCACACCGGCATTTGACATGACAGTGTCAAATGCTGCGGAGAGATCCAGGAGGACCACGATGGAATGAGTCTTCTCATCTCTCGATATATGGAGGTCATTAAGCACCCGAATAAGGGCCATTTCGGTGCCATGCCTCTTTCTAAATCGTGACTGGAAAGGATCCTTGATGGAATCGAGGGCCTCTGTTACTGTTCTGTTAAAGGGCAAGCACAAGGTTCCCGGGATCCAAACCTTCATTTGCTAAGCCCGATAGGTCCAGCACTGCCATTAGGCCACCAGGGATCAAACCCCTCAAGGGGCGGTACAGGCCTTTTTTGGGGGAGCCCAAAAACGGAACTTTATGGTGTGATGGTCTGACCAACCGACTTGTTCCACCACTAAGATTTTTTTAAAGATGTGTTTTTAGTTGGGACTTAAAGATATCAACACTGTCTGGGAACCTGATCTCCACCAGTAGGGAGTTCCACAACCATAGGGGCCACCACAGTAACCACCCAATCACCCCATGAATGCAACCGAGATTGAGGTATAATGTAAAATAGAGGAATAAAAAGATGTACTGTCGTACTGCACATCTTAAGTTCTCCAATCCAGGTTCTTCTCACAGAAATCTTGTTCTCCTGCTCAAACCGCTGGGAATAAATGTCCAGTAGATCACAGAGTCCAATCGGTGCTCGGGAGAAGACTCCCAATTTAATAGCAGGCCAACACCTCCAGTCTGAATCAGCCCTCTGGCTGACTCCCAGAAGCAGCTGCGTGTGGTGCAGCACAGGGCGGAGGAGAAGCAGATCAGTAGCACGGGCATAACCAGCACGTAGATTGTACAGCAGGCTTCACTCAGGAGCACAGGCAGCAGATTAAATATACAGCAGGCTTTTCTCATGAGGCTCCTCTCACAAGCACGGCCACGAGATGGTTTGTGCGAGGCTCGTGGGCTTGATGAGCACGTCGAGGATGCCATGGAAGGGCAGGCTCTTGAGGTGCACGTCGTGGTGCATGGGGTGGCGCGTCCGGGTCGGGGGGGCGTCTGCACCGGCCGCTGCTTCGGGCGGCCTCGTAGCCGTAGAGTTGCGCAGCAGCTCCTGCTGCTGGACCGCTCGCACCATCTTGCGGCCTGGAGCGAGCAGGGGCAAGCGGCGAGGCGGGGCTACCCACGTCGTAGGGCGTGTGCGTCTTAGACGAGGTTACGGCCGTGATGGAAGGTGTCACGGGAGCCAGCTCGGTGTTTTGTGGTCGCTGTGCCTGAACGCACCGTGCGGTGCCGTGGCAGCCGTCGGCATTAACTCGGTACCACATGCTTCCACGGTTGTATTTCGCCAAGGTCATTATCAACCAGTCCTCATTATTTTGCAGACAAGACCCTGGGCTTGTGAAGTCAGATTTTGAGGAAATGTGGCCTCCACGTGGTGTCCGTGGCGAGGATGAGATGGAAATCAGCAACTGTTTCGGTGCATAAACAGCAGCCTTACCGGCCTTAATAGGTGCTCACTGGCATGGATGTCAGTGTATTATTTGATTAATCGAATCGAGAAATGAATGCGGTGAAATGTGTACAAAAAAACTGCTGAATGTCAGGATTTTTAAAAAAATACAAGATGATGGGATTGAAGTGAGTGTAATAGTTGGGACATAACTTGTTAACCTCTTTTTTTAAATGTGGGTTATGTGGAATATTAGTTTAATCATTTCACTTTAAGTTACAGTGAGGGAAAAAAGTATTTGATCCACTGCTGATTTTGTACGTTTGCCCACTGACAAAGAAATGATCAGTCTATAATTTTAATGGTAGGTTTATTTGAACAGTGAGAGACAGAAGAACAACAAAAAAATCCAAAAAACGCATGTCAAAAATGTTATAAATTGATTTGCATTTTAATGAGGGAAATAAGTATTTGACCCCCTCTCAATCAGAAAGATTTCTGGCTCCCAGGTGTCTTTTATACAGGTAACGAGCTGAGATTAGGACCACACTCTTAAAGGGAGTGCTCCTAATCTCAGCTTGTTACCTGTATAAAAGACACCTGTCCACAGAAGCAATCAATCAGATTCCAAACTCTCCACCATGGCCAAGACCAAAGAGCTCTCCAAGGATGTCAGGGACAAGATTGTAGACCTACACAAGGCTGGAATGGGCTACAAGACCATTGCCAAGCAGCTTGGTGAGAAGGTGACAACAGTTGGTGCGATTATTCGCAAATGGAAGAAACACAAAAGAACTGTCAATCTCCCTCGGCCTGGGGCTCCATGCAAGATCTCACCTCGTGGAGTTGCAATGATCATGAGAACGGTGAGGAATCAGCCCAGAACTACACGGGAGGATCTTGTCAATGATCTCAAGGCAGCTGGGACCATAGTCACCAAGAAAACAATTGGTAACACACTACGCCGTGAAGGACTGAAATCCTGCAGCGCCCAAAAGGTCCCCCTGCTCAAGAAAGAACATATACATGCCCGTCTGAAGTTTGCGAATGAACATCTGAATGATTCAGAGGACAACTGGGTGAAAGTGTTGTGGTCAGATGAGACCAAAATGGAGCTCTTTGGCATCAACTCAACTCGCTGTGTTTGGAGGAGGAGGAATGCTGCCTATGACCCCAAGAACACCATCCCCACCGTCAAACATGGAGGTGGAAACATGCTTTGGGGCTCTTTTTCTGGCAAGGGGACAGGACAACTTCACCGCATCAAAGGGACGATGGACGGGGCCATGTACCGTCAAATCTTGGGTGAGAACCTCCTTCCCTCAGCCAGGGCATTGAAAATGGGTCGTGGATGGGTATTCCAGCATGACAATGACCCAAAACACATGGCCAAGGCAACAAAGGAGTGGCTCAAGAAGAAGCACATTAAGGTCCTGGAGTGGCCTAGCCAGTCTCCAGACCTTAATCCCATAGAATATCTGTGGAGGGAGCTGAAGATTCGAGTTGCCAAACATCAGCCTCGAAATCTTAATGACTTGGAGAAGATCTGCAAAGAGGAGTGGGACAAAATCCCTGCTGAGATGTGTGCAAACCTGGTGGCCAACTACAAGAAACGTCTGACCTCTGTGATTGCCAACAAGGGTTTTGCCACCAAATACTAAGTCATGTTTTTCAGAGGGGTCAAATACTTATTTCCCTCATTAAAATGCAAATCAATTTATAACATTTTTGACATGCGTTTTTCTGGATTTTGTTGTTATTCTGTCTCTCACTGTTCAAATAAACCTTCCATTAAAATTATAGACTGATCATTTCTTTGTCAGTGGGAAAATGTACAAAATCAGCAGGGGATCAAATACTTTTTTCCCTCACTGTACTTCCCCATTAATCAGTTCCATATTTTGTTGTTCGTACAGGTTAATTAATGAATACATGAATTGATGAATACATTCAATTAACTCTCTATGATGGTAACATTTCCTTGGGCGACTTTGAGCAACTGCATGGGTGACCTGTTGTTGGTGCAGTGCCAATATGCGGTTAACCTGCACCAAGATACCTGAAGCATTTGTTAGAAATGGAAGCAGACGCTGGAGTACAAGTGGCGCATTTATTTAACTATCCTTTCCAAGAAGACTGACAGTTCTGTAAATCATAGCAACGCTACAATCTTGGTAATTTCTCAAAGAGTAACTCTAAACACATTTTGCAGACCAATGTGCCACTAAATTGATGATTGCATGGGTATTATTTTAACAAAAATAATTAAATATAGTAATTTACACACTATAGAGTATAGCATTCTGATTAGCAAACTGCTGCTTGAGGTTATGAAGTTAATGATGTAATGGTATGAACTAATCCCCTGGAATGCACTCCTTCTCAGCAGATGTCATAAGCTAAGCAGGTCTTTTACCTGGATAATGTAAATTCACATCCGTTTATTATAACCTTTTGCTGAGCTACGTGGTAATCAACAAATGGCAGTGCAGTAAAATCCATCAATCTGTATACTTCTGTGCTCCCATGTCTATGTTGTCCGCACTGACCAGTGTTGAGGTATGGTCAAACAACCCCCAAGGACAAACATGGTGTGGGCAAACCTTCGTCTAACTAAAGGGCTATACTGTACATGGACAAGTTTTATTTTTGTTTTCCTGTGTGGGCCCCCAACCCAAGACTTGTGTGGAAGCAGAAGGATTTAATTTGACTTGTAATGTGTAACTGAAGAGCAGCATTACGACGTACGAATGAAATTGTTACGGAGCTGTCTTTACCACAAAAGCGTGAGCAGCAATAATGGAAAAGCTCAGTCGCAAGCCACTGCACATCACACATTAGTCAATGTCATTTCCACACTTGGCTTCACGTGCAAAAACATTTCAATAGAGCATCACGCTTACAATATTACTTGGAATGAAAATACATTTTCTAAAAATATATATGTTCAATACAAATGATTGTGTGTGTGTGCTGTGTTGTAGGTGTCACTTGGTCTCGGTTTGTTTTCTTTCAGGTGGAAATTCTTGTGGAGGTTAACTTATTTTACAAAGCTTTTCTGTTAAAATATGAACTCATAAAAAAATGTTTAGTGAATGTGAAGCTCTTGTTCCTTCATTTTACTCTAATTGGGTTTAATACTTTATTTTACATTTTAATCAATGCCTTGAACGGTTTAATAAAATGTCAAATATTTTCCATTCTTGTGGATACAACTTTTTTTGTTCCATGTTCACGTTGGGGCCTACGAACCTGAAACCTTCATGGGGCACGCCACCCTAAAACCCTCAAAACCAGAAGCGTTCGATTTCCGGTAAATCCCCGTGAAATCGTTGGACAAGCCGTGACACTTGACATTGCCTCTGTCCACTTTTAAATAAATAAAGATGAGAAGATGGCTGGCCGGCCGGCAGATGTGCTTGCAGTGCCGGTGCAGTGTTACAGCAGGTTGCTTAAAGGTTTTGAGATGTTTGTCGGTTCCCCAGACCTGGCCAAGGACTACGCAGTCTGAGCGCAGCTTCCCGTGACGCACGGGATTAATGAAGAATCCGCCTCTACCGCCCACTCTCCAAGTCCAATGTCACGAGTAATTGGCAGAATAATGGGACCGCTCCAGCGAGAAGCCGTAGGCGGAGCAGACGATGGTCTCCTTGGCAGGGCGCGGTGGAAAGAAGGCATCTTCGTTAAGCAGCGTTGGTTATGATCGCCGATTTAATGTGTGCCTCGCTGAGCGGGCTGGTTCCTATGACAGCCCTCGCCTAGCGCTCTTTTTCCCTTCTTGTCCCCCATGCTTAACGACTGCTCTTGCAGGAAGCAAAATGAAAACCTTTGTAACTTATGACCAAGCAAAGACCTCGCTGAGGAGGTGTGTTTCATGCTATGGAGATGTGGGGGGGGGGGGGGGGGGGGTAGCTGTGTCAAGCAACAAACAGCACAGTAAAAGTTGTAATAGATAAAAAAAACATTAAACTAATTTCCCTATTTTGCTTCGAAAAAAGAAGAAAATATGCCTATGTGTGGGTTCTGTCGCTTCCCAACGTGCGTTTGTTCCACTGAAGTATTAAATGAGTGATGGCCATGTTACCTTTCGAACCGCACAACGATCCGATGCCACACGTAGCAAGATGCACGTTACGTAACGTCATCACCTTGGCTGAGAAGGGGTTTTTTTATGTATTCGGCACAATTTTTTTTACACGAAGCTTTGCGCAATTTGGCCGGTCTTCTACAGGTCAGGTCCCTACATAGCAACCCACCAACTTTAGTTGGGAAGCAGGGCCGGATTATCCAATAGGCACAGTGGGCACTGCCTTGACGAAAATTAAAGGGCCTACAATGTTTTTTTCATATCATAAAAATATAACCAAGATATCTTCTTGAATAAATATTTGTATTTATATAGCAAGGATAGGCAGCCATGTCAATGTTTTTTTTTCATAAGGTGAGATAAATTAACACAATATTAACTTTTCGATTATTTTTTTAATTGCAAAATTAGCAATAACATCTTCGAATGGTGTTTTCCCGCGGTCTCATTCTCAATAGATAGTGCAAGGGAAGACCAGCGTCGTTGTGGCCTATCGTTGATCGGAGACTTTTTCATCAGCTTTAGCGAATACATTTTCGCTTATAATATTTTTTGGCTTACCTTGGTATTTTTTGTCCAATCGTTTCAAATTAAATTTGCTCATCGTCGGCACACAGCACGCTCGCATCGAATTAGGGCACATACTAAATAATGAACATATCAGCAGTAACGACATCTGTCCAGCGGCTGGACGAAGTACGCATGAAACAAGCGAGTGACAGCAGAGGTAGTGACATGGAGCAGCAGCAGCAGTACCAACTGCTGAAAGTTATCACTGAAGGCCGACGAAACAGATGTGCCTAGGGCCTACAAGAACCTAAATCCGACCCGTGTTGGGATGCATTAAAAATGAAGTCATAAAATCACGACTCTTGTGTTCACACAATTTTGTAGCTTTATGATTTAAGTAGATGGATCGCACCGTAGCCGGCCATCTGAAACATCCAATTTATAAATGAAAAAAAATGGTTCTGATGAATAAAACTGTTTTCCACACGGAGCCATGACATTTCTTCATGAAGAATAGGCTTGTATTTTTCTTTCGGACCACGGGGTGCCCTTGTGTTGATGGAAAATGTCT